TGTGTAGCTTTGTGCTTAATTACAAACAAATAAACTACTAATAAGACTAAACAACATTTACTTTCGTAGGCCCGTCTCTCTTTCTTTCTCCGAACTTTTGAGTCACATTTCAATTCACCCCCCAGTGGCACAGCGGTATGTCTGCGGACTTACAACGCTAGAATCCGGGTTTCGATACCCGTGGTGGGCAGAGCACAGATAGCCCATTGTGTAGCTTTGTGCTTAATTACAAACAAACAAACATTTTCATTCTTATCATCTTTTCTTTAGTTTAGTTGTGAAAGTGCAAAGTATACTTTTTTAAAGTCTAATTTATTGAATTTAGTAGAATCTTATATATATATATATATTTAAGATATATTTATCTTACAGTGCCTTTCTGTTTGTTTGTTTGTTTTGAATTTCGCGTAAAGCTACACGAGGGCTATCTGCGCTAGCCGTCCCTACTTTAGCAGTGTGGGACTAGAGGGAAGGCAGCTAGTCATCACCACCCACCGCCAACTGTTGGGCTATTCTTTCACCAACGAATAGTGGGATTGACCGTCACATTATAACGCCCCCACGGCTGAAAGGGCGAGCATGTTTGGTGTGACGGGGATTCGAACCCGCGACCCTCAGATTGCGAGTCGAGTGCCCTAACCACCTGGCGATGCCGGGCCCGAACTAGTTTCTAGATACGTGTTTCACGACTAACGATATAAAGCGAGCGAAATATAATCGATTCTTTAAAAAATGAAATTAATATATAAACTTTTGTTGATTCTATCTCCTAGGCAGTTGCAAACCTAACGGTTGAAGCCGGGTCTGGATATAGTTTACAATAGAAGGTTTAGAAGATAAAAACGCCCATTCTTAAACGTGATAATTAACTAGGCAACTAATTCAATTGAGACTAAAAATATCATTACGACATTGGAGAAACAAAGTTAACAAAGGTCGGAGTTCAAGAACATAATAGATATACCTATCTCTCTGCAATAACATATTGTTATAGGCTTTTGTTGTTGTTGTTTGAGTGTTTGTTTTTTTATAATTACTCATTTAGACGTTTCTATTATGGCTTGGTCAGAAGGAGTTTTCCCGTTATGAGATGGCCGTGGCTTAATGTCTAGAATCTTGTTGAAAGTTTGAAAGACTGTTTAAGAAATATAAAAACAAAGTTATGTTAGAATAGAAATTGAATTTATTATTTGTAATTTTGTTATAATAAGTGCTTTTTATTGAGTAGCGAGTCTGTTAGGTAATTAGTCAGTTTTGGGAATATTGATATCTGAAGAAATGCCTACGTAAGAAAGAAGCTAACAAGTAAGTAAATATGTTGTATTAGCATCTACTTTGAACCTAGGTCCCACAATATTAGCAAATACTAGTTAAGCTAACTTGTAGAAATTGTAATCAATAAATGAAACTGTTTTATTATCGTTAGCCTTGTCCCCCGAGGCTATCAATTTCCAGTGGCATCACACTACCTACAAAATGCAAAATAATGTAGGTAAAAATGTAATTCTGATACATGTTGTTCCACTGCGACTTTAAGTTGCCTGTGGTTGTCATGTGGCTTGCTAATTTGTAGACGAAACATAGATACAAGTCAATTAACGTCTATTAGTAATGATAATCAAATTAGTAACTAATTAATGATTAGATTTAGGTGTTCGCATAGGCTATTAAACACAACGACGACTGATATCTGGTCGCCACAACTTTACCATAAGTACACAGTTATTTTTGTTTATAGCTAAGCATAAAACTACACAATAAGCTATCTGTGCTATATCCATCAGGAGTATTGAAACCCGATTTTTAGCGTTATAGGCCTTCAGACTTACCACTGAGCCACTGGAGGGCCAATGTTTTTGACTGAGTGGTTTACAATATGAATCAACCAGTTTGTCTTAGATTATTAAAAGCTCATCTCCTAGATTGTCAGCTTCATTCTATTAAGCCCCCCAGTGGCACAGCGATATGTCTGCGGACTTACAACGCTAGCAACCGGGTTTCGATACTCGTGGTGGGCAGAGCACAGATAGCCCTTTGTGCAGCTTTGTGCTTAACTACAAACAAACTATACATCATTATATTAAAATACAATTGGTACAACAGCAGACACTTCTCTATGTATGGTGTTTCGAGATGTATCTTATTTAGTCAATGATTCTATATTTATATAAAAATTTCAAGAATATTCTGAATTCATACTAGTAATTCATTCTCGTGAACAGGGACGTAACAAGGGGCGGGGGAGAAGACCGTACTCCCCAGTATTCCATTACAAATTCAATTTTCAATTTTGGAAAAATCTCGGAAGAATAATGAATAATTTCTTGTTGCTACGAATTTTTAGGCAAATAAAGAAAATGCCGAGAAAAATTGGGCAAGTTTCCGTCAAAGATTGAATAAAATTTCAAAGTGGATCACACAATGCACACTAGTCTGCCGACGATTCTGATAATTTTAAGACTTTACCTTCATCTATACCTTATCCTTTTAATAATATACATAAATGCACAAAACAACACAATTGGTTATCTGCGCTGTGGGAATCACAAGTATCGAAACACAGTTTTTAGCGTTGTATGCTCTCAGACTTCTGTTCAAATGTTATTTCAATTACGTTTAGAATACAAAGCACTAGATGGCAGGGCAGTAGCTAAGTTATCATTGGACTTTATGAAATAACTATTATTATCACTGATCATAACTTTACTTTCGTATCGGTATCTTAGATTACATTGTCTTCGAGTAAACACGTCTTCATTGGGTGGGAAAATATCATGTTTGATCTGAATAGTGAAATCTAAAAATAACAATCCTAGAGAATGTTTGTAAGTTTGAAAGAGTTATTACATTTTCTTGCTTGTGAAGTAGTATTTATTCTAGGCTAACAATAGTAATATAATAGACCTCCTAGCGTAGGGTTAGTCTTACCGAGTAGCAACTCACTGAGTGCCTCTCGTCGTGTGTTGACTTTTGTCAAGTGATATATTCTTATGATTATTGCAACAACGTAGAAGTTAGAGGCGAGTTCGTTGGTGAAGTGTATCCTTTCATAAGAGTATCACTAGAACAGGCTTTGAACTATAATCGGCCACAGTTTAAACATGTGATACTGATAAGCCGATTATATCGACTAGGTTGATAATATTAATGATACTAATAGTCTTTAAAAGTTAAATTTTTGAAGCTGTGCTGTTAAGTCTGAGAACATAAAAACTCACTAGAAGTAGAATTTATAGTTACATACATTTTTTGAAGTTAAACTTAAAGCAATAGAAAGAACTTGAATTACTTGTCATTAGAATTAAAAAAATAATTTGGTAAGGTATGACTCGCATGTTTCAAATTATTAGAGGATCAAACAAGCTATTTCTATTTTGGGAGTCTTAAGTATAAGCTATTTGTAATTCTATCTATATTATGTATTTATATTATGAATATTAAATGACTTTCATGTATTGTCATGTGATGGTATGAATCACAAGCCCAGCCCAATGTTTATTTTTATTGTTCTAAGTTTAATAAGCAGTTCCTTATTCTTTGCAGCTTACAACATCTTATACACTATTTTAACGTACAAAACATAACACTTCCAGGTTGATGTTTTCAGTTCCTCAGAATTACTTAAAATGGTTGATGTTTGCAATGATTTAACAGTTTAAGTGATATATAATGAGTAATGAAAGTTAGCTTTATGTTCATATAAACCAGATGGACTCCAATTGCTCTTTAAACACATCTTCTAAACTATTTACTTACCAAGTTGCTTGTAGGTCTAAGGTTTTGTTGGTTAGTTTCTAATAATGTAAGATTTATACCAAAAAGATTAAAGATATAATCACTCAATTGGAGTTCATACCCCTAATTACTTCTGAATTTCCTGTTATTTTACATATAAAGTAAGTGCTTTTACCTAGTTTTATTGGTCAGTTCTTAACAATGAAAAAATTTGATGTAATATGTATAACACGTCAGTTGTGAAAGGCATATGAACAAGTGAGTAATTTGAAGGTTTAATCATGAAATTACTGTGAACAGTAAGGATTTTAATAGCAATAGTAACAAGCTTAAATACATATCTCGGAAACCTAGGTGTTTGTTGTGAAACGTAGATTATTTTTCTGTCATGTGTCCTAATGAGGCATGTAAATTTTTATCTTGACAGGACTCTTTTAGTAAAAACTATATTAAAAGATAAAGAATTTAATAACTTTGTAAATATTCTAAGTTAGCTCCTACAGTTTAAAATTCACTTTCAAAGGGTGAAAGTAAAAAGTTTCTACGATTAAGGTTTATTTGTGATCAGTGAAAGTTTTAAAATTAATGAAAATTTGGCATCTTTGATCCGATGCAATTACAATTTCAATTTCTTTTGTAGTTGTTATTAGAAGTTTGAACATCTGATGTTGTGAAAAAGATAATTTTCCAAGATGTTTTATAAAAATGTGTTATTCAGTATTGGTGTGTTTCCCTGCGATCATTTAACCATTGTATGAGTTACACTTTGAGTACTATTAGCAGTTTCGTGTCAAACGGTAGGGATGAAACATTAAGTTGTTGTAAACTTAGTTTGTGCAGATTTATTATTGGCTGAATTAGTAAAAAGCTAAGTGGATACTGTAATGAAAACTACAACACTAAGTCCTACTAATATACTGTATGGGCCGTAGAGAAAGAATACAGTCTGCTTTAGGGTTTACAGTCTTTTGTAGACTATTATAATGTACAAAAAAGATGATGTCAGGGTAGAATAGTGTTTCAGTTCTTGAGAATTACTTAATTAAAGTGTTTGATATTTACAGTGATGTAACAATTTAAGTGATACCTGATGAACATTAAAAATTAGTTTTATATTAATAAATATCAAAAAGTGATGGAAAATAGAGAACATTGGTTAATTAGCTCCTGTACGGAGCTTAATTTGAAAAAAGTGAATATAATTTCCTCATTTATATTTTACTTATCATCATCATCAGAGAATTCAAGGTACCAGCACAGACCGTTTTATTAGGTAACACAAATCCACAGTTTGTAGAGATGTCTTTAGGGTTGTTGTTGTTGGTCTTGTTCTAACTGCTACACATGTAAGATCTGTAAACGGTCCAACACATATTGACAGACCGTTTTATTAGGTAACACAAATCCACAGTTCGTAGAGATGTCTTTAGGTTTGTTGTTCGTCTTGTTCTAACTGCTACACACGTAAGATCTGTAAACGATCCAACACATATTGTGACTCCTTCGAACATTATTTTGTATTCATACTCTGGAAAGGTTTTAATTGATGGAGATTTTATTGGTTGTATTTTGTAAAATAATCTGGTAATAGTAACATTATATTTATCACTTAGAGAATAAATTTTCGATTAAACATGAGACAAAACTACAGCTTGTTCCGTTAAAACCTAGTCTGAATTATCCTAAATTATATTGACACAGCCTCTTTATATCAGAATTTTATATAAAATCAATTAGAGGCTACTTTATTGGTCAGTTGTAAAAACTTTCGAGAAACCTTTAACATATCCATTGACCAAGCTGTACTTGGCTCATTATCCTTTCCATATACGTATATACTTCTTATAAAATAACCCACTGGAACATTTTTCCCTTTTCCACTTAACTGTGGCATTCTAATTTCCATTAATCCACAGAATACCTAAAAAAAGAAGTTAAGAATGAGGTATGTATATCTATATTATATTTAATATAGGTAATATATGTATATATGAAGACATACAGCTATCACATAGTGTATACAACTATGTTTTGGTCTGTTTGTTTTATTCAGCTACTCTGCAGGTTTTGGTGTTTATGGTTTAAACCTTAGGATCAAGTACTTAGTGGATAGTTTTGTGTTTATGGTTTAAACCCTAGGATCAAGTACTTAGTGGATAGTTTTGTGTTTATGGTTTAAACCCTAGGATCAAGTACTTAGTGGATAGTTTTGTGTTTATGGTTTAAACCCTAGGATCAAGTACTTGGCCATGGTAGAAAAGTTCTATAACATATAGCTACATGAAACATGTCTAATGAAATTGGTCAACTAGTTTTCAGGAGAACTGATTTTCTGACATTTGGGGAACATGGGTTGAGAAAATTAACTGCCTTTGAATATTGTTTGGGAATTAATTGGTTGCAAAACATATTTATGCCAAAATTTATCATAGTTGTTTTGTTGTCAATTATTGAACAGACTTTGTGGAATTTTATTATTAATCACTAGAAAGACTCTTCACAGAATCTATCCTAGTTCTGTCAGTATTAATATCTAAACAGATTCTTGGCAGAATTCATCCTGTTTCTTTCAAGATCAATTATTTAACAGGTTCTTGGCAATATTTGTCTGTTTTAAAATTAATTACTGAACAGACTTTTGACTGATTTTATTGTAATTGTTTTAGAATTAACTGCTGAATGGAGCCATGGAAATGTTTTTATTTAGAGTTTGTGTTGGAGATAAGCTTACATTATCTATAATTAACAAATGTGCCTAACATTGTTAACACAAGGAACGTAACAATTTAATAGATTTTTTTAAAATTTTCATTTCCAGTTTTTCACAACCAACAGTTGTTCCTAACGTAGTTAGCATGAAGAACTTGATGATATAATAAACCTTTTAATTTTTCCCTTAATTTCAACTTGTCAAAGTGCACTCTGATTTGTTTTGATTACTCTAAACGAACCGAGGGATAAAGTGTAATTTTCAGAAGCATTTAATTAAACGAGAACAATCTAATATCCTTTCTAGTTCTTAATTTAGCTCATCCACGCAAGATGTTCATCCAAATACATTATTTTCAGTTAATTTTCCACACTTGAATGTGGAATAAATCTTATGACTTGAATACTTATTTTGAATATTATTGAAAATCCTTTTTTTTCTTCAAAAAACTTACGAAATTTATGCTACTGCTACACATTCACACTTATATAATTGATTGTAAAACGTTTATATTGTTCATCTGTTTACATGTAAACATCCTGGTCTAAATAGACAGTTTATATACACATAAGAAACTGGTTAAATATACATTAAGTTATTTATGTGCTTTCCATTTTAATCATAAGTTTTGGCTTTTCTGAGCACCATCATTAGTCTTACAATCAGTAATGGTACTATGTTGTTCTGATTATCAGTTTTACAATCAGTAATGGTACTATGTTGTTCTGATTATCAGTTTTACAATCAGTAATGGTACTAAATTGGCCTGATTATCAGTTTTACAATCAGTAATGGTACTAAATTGGCCTGATTATCAGTTTTACAATCAGTAATGGTACTAAGTTGTTCTGATTATCAGTCTTACAATCAGTAATGGTACTATGTTGTTCTGATTAT